TTCATAGATAGACTCATAAATTACTCCYGGTACACAGAATGCGTGGGAGGCTGCCTGTTTGCACAGCGTGGGACCAGGACCTGCACATTCAAATATCAGTAGACAGCTGGAATGCAATCTGTGAAAAGGCACTCAGAGCCTCCAGGTCTATTAAATACAAACTTAGAACATCTACTGAGGATTTTATATCTTGCGTTACACCAGTAATGCCAAAAAAAGAAGAGATGCAACACTCCTGGGATAGTGTCAATAAATGCAGGTGCAGAGTATCCCCCAAATCTTTCTAATGTAGGTAGGTAGACAGACATGGACAATTGCTCTGTGGCTAGATACGTATAGCTGTGCATGAGCGTGTACTGCGGTATAGGTGTTGGCAAGAGAAAATCGATTAAGTTTAATTTAGTATCCCATGTTATATTGGTTTCTACCCACATCAAGAGAAGCAGGAAACATTTTGCTTTGAGTTCTGCAGTTGTTGCTGAACTCCTATAAAACTGCAACACATATAGAACGTGAATTGTCCTTTTATGAAGATATTTCATTTCTAATTTTGGGGAAAAACTCTATTATTGACAGCGTTACCCTCCTAGCTTACATTAACAGCTCCAGTCTATATCCACATGTTTTAGCAGACAGGTGAGGGAGGAAGATATAGTCATTAGACTGATGGAGACAAAGGAGTGGTGGGTCAAGACTAAAAAGTAACTGTAAAAATTCTTTGGTTGATCTTCCATGTTATCAATACTGTGTGTATGCTGATGCTTTTTCTATCTTWCTGTCTTACTAGCTGAATTCTTTAGAAACTAAACTCAATATCTGATTATGAACTGTAAGCAAGAACTGATTCTTATCCAAAGCCCTCTAGTTGACTGTGACAATATTTATGCTGTTTATACCTACCATAACTGTACAGTTCTTATTAATCCTTAATACAAAGGCCACCTCTTGCTTAAGCTGTTTTTGAGTATTAGTCCGATATGTTTCCATCTGCAAATAAGGCCTAGGTATTCAGGCTAGTCATAGGTTGCCTTTGATTAAAARCATAATCCATTTGGCATGGAAATGATTCACTAACATATCAAAGCACCTCTGAATGCTAATGGGTTGTAGTTGTCTACCATGCAAAAGTTGCCTAGAAACATACGGTTTTGGAGGGAGAAGTAGGTTATGAAAGGAATAACGTGTTGTAGTGCTGCCTTGGTATGCACTGGACTGACGTGATCTGGGTTGCACACTGAAGACGTGTCTTATTTTGAGTGCCAAAGGCAGGTAGCACTAGTCAGAGGCTGCGTGATGACAATATTTACCAGCGTTTTCACTGCTTGGAGCTGGGAGAAATGTGCTTGCCCAGCTGATGGGACCGGTGATTGGGACGCATCAAGTGCCCGTCCACATCTGAGGCAGCGTTTAGGCTGGGCAAAGAGAGAGAGAAAGAGAGMGCACTCCCGCCCTGAATCATTTCCTCGAGAGCCCAAGGGGCAGCTCCACAATTTGCTGTGCCAGTGTGAAATCAGATCCGACGCCATGCTCCTATTATAACCAGATACGGCAGGAATACGCAATCACTCTGTACAGCAGAGAGGATGGAGAGAGCTGTGCTTGTGTCACCGTCCTAAGAGAGCCGAAATACAAACAGCTAAGAAACCAATCCAATTCTCTGCATCTCTCCCAAGAAATCGGTGGTTTYGGAAATATTTTTGTTTCTTGCAGGAATAAGGTGTGGTCAGGAGGGATGTGRAGAGATGTAGAAAGAAACAATAATTCTCTCTGCATGGCTCTACTTCAAAGCAAAAAGCGTTCTGTAGATTAGACTGATGCTGGGAAGACTGTAGGTTAGAGTGCTACTCTTCCCAAGGCTGCTGCTTGCTCATATACGACATAATTTAAGTTGCAAAAATTTCTGTTACTTCAATATATTCCTTCAGTCTGATGAGGATGAAACTCTTTCCTGTGAGACCTCCTTGATGCATGGAAAGCGCTTTGGGATTTTTGAATAAGAAATGGATAAAAGCACATACCAACTATTGCTCAATGGAGCACTGCTAAACAACTTTAATAAAATTTGTTTTAAAAGGCAGGGATTAGCTACGCTACTGTGTAAAAACATCAATTAGTAGAAGTACAAGAAGCAGTCGTACCTTTTGTGTTTGTTCTGCTGCTCCTGCTACAACAGTTTTCAGGGGTGAAAGCAGTGGTGAGACTTGTAACTCTTTTCTTGCGTCTACCTTTAGCTTTCTGTCTTTCCAGCTCTGTGAGCAAAGAGAAAAGATTAATGCATCTGTTTTATAACAATCCATGCCAAGTGAATTCTGCAATAATGCATTAACAATCACAGTTTAAGATGTGATAATTGTTCTTTTACATCACCTGCCTAATGCATGGCAACCCCTCAATTGCAATAAATGTGCATGGGCCCCTCCTGGCCCTGCTCCAGGCCRTGGCACTAGGTGCAAATCTGTGATTGCACCGAGGAAATGCCCATGGGCACCCCAGGGTGCATGTGCCCCGGGGTGCTTGTGCTGCTGTGTCCATGCCCAGGCATCCTGCAGGGCTCTGGCGCTGATGGCAGCAGGTGGATGAGGCAGAATTTCTCTCCAGYGTGCTGGTATCACACATCCTTTCTGATGTCTCTGAAGAGGAAATGTTCCTATTTGAGCGTCGGTGTACCTGCTGCCCTTAACAATTTTAAAAAATAATAAGGAGAGTGAAATATCAAAGCTGCTGGACGAAATCACAGTAGTGTGCCGTCAGAAGTCAGTGTGTTATGCGCTACTCTACCACGGCTGCCTCATAAGAGAAAGGAAGAATGCTATCAGCCTCTATTGTGAGAATAATGAAAAGAGCTTTTCAAAATAAGTGTGGAAGCACACTGGGAAAAATCCTTCTATTTATTTATATTGATATCCCTAATAAAATTGCTTCCCACAAATGTTTTGTGACTGACACTGCCTTGCCCAGTATCTGCTATAATCAAATCCTGCGAAGGCAATTTAGCAAGTTTTTTTTTTATTGTTTTTTTTTGTTGTTGTTTTCAAGAGAAATAGCTGCTTGTTCTTTTTTTGCCATCAGCCTGGCTCTGTATCCAAATAGCTCTCTTCTTAGTGTGAAGCGCTCGGAACTGGCTTGGATGCCCTCGCCCGGCACCATCTGCTTGCCTCTGCGCCGTGTCCTGGAGCTGGACCACGGCAAAGCCATCTCAAGAAGCACCACTACCAGTCCTGGTCCCCAAACAGGACTGCTGGGGTTGGAGACTTCCAGGCTTGGGCAGCATTCTCCTACCCAGCTCCATGAAAACATGATTATTATCATTAAATACATACTGTGATACACAATGTGTCTGCAATGCTCCCTGATGAGACCATGCACCGAACCTAACGACTCCTACCGTAGCTAAATACCACGCTCAGCTGTTAAGACAACACCACATGTTTGGCTCCTACTGATGATGAGCGGTCTATGCAGCAGCCCGATCATTTTCTAAAGGTCTGGGATCACGTAGCACTACTGCAATCACAGAAAAGATGCCTGCTTTCCCTTCCTCCCACCTCCTRCAAGGTTTGTTTTGCAGCCTGCAGTTGCTGAAGAAGGAGAAGTCACTGCAGCTGCTGACGGCAGCGCCACGGTCCCCTGAACTGCCAACCAGGGCACGGAAATGGCTAAGTGCACGGTGTTTAGATGAGCTTTATTCCTCCTGTGTGGATGAAGGGGCACAGAAGCCAGCTACATGAACCCATACGTCTCTCATCATACATCTCATGATGGTACCTTCAGAAAGTCACAGGGCCACCTCTCCCTGGGGCCAGGGAGTGCTGTCCYAGGCCAGCACCAGCCCGAGGGGACGTGGCTCCTTTTGGTCCTTGGTTGCTTTGAGCTGGGCTGTGGCCATTGCACCTCCTGTGACCACTGGTGATATTGGTGGGTCAGGGGCAAATTCCCCTGTGTCCCGTGTACCAGAGCCACCTTCCTTTGTTGTTCAGCCCCTTAGGAATCTTAACAGAGCCCATAATATTTAATGGGTTTTCTAGCGATAATGTCATTTTAAGTGACATAGCTGTGATAAATCGCTCCCACACGTCACTGAATTCTGTTTCTAAATTTTTATGTATTTTTGATAGGCCAATTTATCCCTGCTGCAATTCCAGCCTCTGCAGTCAATGGCATTCCACTGGGGGTGAATTTTGTCTGCTATTTACAGTGTGTGCTTTTAAGCTGTGATTGGTGTGACAGTGTGATCTGTACAGCTGTCTCCCTGTATTTATTCTTCTGCCTATAAGGTTGATTTATACTCGCTCCCAAAAAAATGCTCATAGCTTTCCATGCGAATGCCTTTAAATAACTGATTAATGATCATTATTAGGATGACTATAACAGAGCAGGGTTTGTGGAGCTTACAGGCTTGGGAGAACGATTGAAATTAAGCTGCTGTGTGCCCCAATCCAGCTCCAAACCTTTTTTTTGAGGTTTTTGATATAATTGCACGGTGCCCTCTGGGCTCAATGGCACTCGATGTGCCTGACACGAGGGTGCGTGGTGCTGCTGCGGCCGGGACCTTGCACTGCATGGGTGCTGGTGGCCCATTCCTCCAGTGGCGATGAAATCCCCCCATGGAGAGCAGGAAGGGCACCCAGGCAGGAAGCTTGGTGCCCATCTGCTTTGATTGCCTGTGTTTTCAGTTCCTGATTCCCAAATGAAGAGCCTGCTAGCCTGCATCAGGGCTCTCTGCACCCCCAAGTACTGCGGGTTGGTTTTGGGGAGGAACCTGCCCAAAGAGCAAATGCTCTTCTGACAGGCACAGCAGTGAGCATCCAGTTAACACTGGATGCTCAGACTGGAGCTGAGCCTCTTGAGATGTTTATTCCAGCAGTATCTCCCCAATGGTGCTTCCATTGAGGATGAAATGCTTGTGTCATAGAAATGGTCATTCCCCGAAAAAAAGAAAGCAAGAACTTGCAACCCAGGAAGGGCCTTGTGTGTTTTCCTGGTGTTTTAGTTCCTGAATGGGCTTGGTTGGAGTTTTCCAAAGAGTACAACCTGCAAAGTAAGGAGAGAAGAGCTCAGTTTTCCCAAATGTTACACCCATCAGCCATTCAGCTAGAAGCACCCTTGCGATTGAGTTGTCAGATTTGTCCCTGTCAAAGTCTGGGAAAGAAATAATATTCTTTCTTGTAAAGTAGCTGGCTCTGCTTCAAAAGTAATACAGAATAAGGCAAAGACTGGAAATATGAAAGTTGTTATTATATAATAAATAATAATAATGACAGTTCAAGTAAACCAACTTAAGGTTTGCTCATTATTTGGTCAACTTCCCTCTTATTTATATGTTCCCTGCACAGAGCCTGATTAAGAACCATTGCATCTTATTTTGCTTACATGGGTTGATGTGATGTATTGCTGTCACCTGTCTGCAGCCAAAATAATATGAAAACACATAATAGAAGTGGCTGAATGCCTGCTACTGGTTTTGATCTTCTTCAAAATATCGTTTTTACTTTATGTATCTAGAGAATAGCTGGCCTCCTACAGTTCCCATTCACATCTTATCCTTGAACAATGAGAAGAAAATCTGCCTGCAGTAAATGTTCAGTTTATGTTGGGGAATTTTTCCAATACAAGGAAAGAAAGGGAGATAAAGGAGCTTTATAAAATAATGGTGCCATTCTCAGATAAACATGGATATATTWGCTGTTAACTTCATGAATAATGGGGAATAAGAAGGTCAAATATATCTGGTTTCATGCTGGAAGTGGTTGCCTTTTGGGGGGTTTTGGGGCTTCTTGAGTTCTTCCAAAAGAAGTGGCTCATGCTTTTAAAGACTTTAAACTCATGCAGATTTTTACCTTCCTATATCTCAACTGGCAGATTTATTGCAGGTGTAACAGTCTGTCTCCGTGTTATTTCAACAAATCTGATTTCTGCAAGGGCTGATTAATGCACTTTGTCTGCAATCAGAAAAAAAAAAAAAGAAAAAAGAAACGTGACGCTCAGCTGGGAGCGGTCAGCACAAGACCAGGGCAACATGGTTATCATTGTGAAAGCKTTATTACTTGTCACTGATTTGGGTGGTACCCAGAGGAATTGCCCGTTTTTCAGCATCGCTTTGAATGTTTGAAGCCCAGGGACCCTTTCCTGCTCTCCTGCCTCTCTGGACAGCAGTGTCTCTGCTCTGGCTTTGTGTGCATCAGAAAATGAACCTGCACGTCAGGCTGCCCAGAACCGCTGCTGTTCCACTGCTCTGTRAAACAAAAACAGTTGCTAGCATGACTCTAGATCTGAACGTCAACTCTACTGTTTTATATTATTAATTTCAAGCTCCAGCTGTTGCCTTGAAGCATTTTGTTTTGTCATTTGGAAAGTTGCTGCTCAGAACACACAAAAGGGAAAGAAAAATTAAAGCAAAGCCCCTAAAACTCATTAGTGATGTAGAGTGTAGTGATGATGGCTAATGGTGTCTAATAATCCATCAAGGTAGCTCATCTGTCTGCTATAAAAATGTCATTGCTAGAAGTTTACTAAAGCTTTGCAAGGCCTAGGCATAGCTTTGGGGCACTGCTGTGACAGCAGCATGTGGCAGTGATTGCAGGGACATGAGAACAGGSTGCAGTGCCCACCAGTGCTTGGGACACGGCACTGGGACCACAAGGAGTGCTTTCCTCCCAAGGGATGAGAACTCCTCGGGTCATTCCTTCAAGGGTAGACAGCATCCCGGTACCTTTGGTCTGGGGTAAAGAGGCCAAGAAGTCCATGCAAATGGGTCCCAATGCCTGCACTGAGCCCAAKCGCTGCTAATATTGATCTGCCCAGAGTAAACTTCTACTAAGGGCTTCAAGTGCAGGACAYGATTACTTATCACGGGCAGATACTCTCTCCGTGCCTCCTGCAATGTCTCAGTCACCTTCCTTGCTCTTCCTCCTGGTGACTTTTCCTCTGACCTTAACTAATCTGTCATCTGCTGTGGCCAGAGCAAATAGCCCGTGGTGCATTTGCTGCTCCGCGCTGCCGAYTTCCAGGCTCTGCTGTAGCTCCCAGTCAACTATAATCCATTTTCCCCTTGTAGTCTGCTGACACAGTCTGGTTCTGAAAGAGCTTCGTATAAAACTGGAAGGAGGTCTCAAATCCAGATCAAGCTTAACATCGCCTGCTTCCCCCCGAGCACCCAGCCTACTCCAGCCCTCCAGTTTTAAGTGATTCCTCTCATTGTGAGCGGTGGCTGTGGGGCTAATGAGTTTACTGCTGCTGTTCCCTCCAACGAGGGGACGAGGCACAGCCTCACAATCACTGTAAAAGGCTTAGAAATATGTTTAAGTGGTTTGGGTTTCTCTGTGAAATCTGAATTCAAATCCCTGCTCTCAATAAAAAAAATAAAACGGCAAAACACCAACACTGAAGAGCAACAACTTAAAAAAAAAAAAAAGAGGAGGTTCATAGGGATTCTGAGGTTTTGCTGCTTTTTTTTTTTCCAGCCGGGAATGTTGTAGCATTGCCTACAGAGCCTTTCTTCTCTGCATTAGGCGAGCACAGAGATTTCATTTCATACATCATTTACAATGGAGCGCGTCTGGAGCAGAGTCGGCGCATATTAACTCGGAGATGTGGGGAAAGAGTTGGGCTCTTTGAACGTTTCAAAGCCTTTCCAGTGCGGAGGGGAGCCGGGGCTGCCGGCTGCTTCCCACTCSGTCGACGGAGCGGCACGAACCGAACGCCCGCGAAACGGGACTAGGAGAACAAAGTCAGCCCAGGGCTGTAATGTGCTGCCATTAGTGTGAGCGGGGAGGAGAACAGAGACAGTCCTGCAACTGGCCCACTAAGTCCCTAGAAACTTGTCTTTTGCTCTCTTTTTTTATTGCTCTCCTAGCTGTCTCCCCATTTCATTTTCGCGCTGGAGTAAGTGCAGGAATTGGAGGAGTAATTACAGAATGGGAGAAGAAGAGGAAGACTCACCCTTCCCTTCCCTTCCCTTCCCTTCCCTTCCCTTCCCTTCCCTTCCCTTCCCTTCCCGTCCCGTCCCGTCCCGTCCCGTCCCGTCCCGTCCCTTTCCATGTGGCTATGGGCTGTCCACAATGACTCTTCCTTCATTGCCCCAGATTTCATTTTAAGTCACATCTTCTGAGCCAATGAAATGGCCACCCCGTGTATTGGTAAAAAAGGAAATCTTTTAAAGGATCATTTCAAATTCAGCGTTTTTTTTTTTTTCTTTTTAATATATCTGGGTTGCTTTTGATTTCCTCCTGGAATTTGATGCCTTAGGATATACTCAAGAAAACTGGAAAATGTAACTCACTCGGAGCTCTAAAAGTGAAAAAATGAAATGGAAGGTGATGTCTTATTACAGGAATCCATGGTTTGGAGCTTTCTGGAAAATGCCAGGCACAATGAGACCTGCCATAAAATCTATGGGAATGGCAATGAGACGACGGTATCTCTCCTCCTTCCCTTGCAAAAAGGTTTTCTTTCTTCTGTCTGCCCCTGAAGAGCCTGACTTGCTAGTGGCAGCAGAAAAACTCCTCCGATGTGTTGTGATGGCCATGCCAATGTCTTTCTGCCTTCATTGTTGCTGGAGAGTGAGACATTGGGTGGGACTTCAAGTCTTTCTCTGTGAAATATCATCTCTATCTGGGATCTGTTGTCTCTTCAGTGGAAGACTTCTGGACAGAAGCATCCAGCAGAAAGCCTTAGGAAAACTGCCAGCCGCAAGGGCAATGATTGCAAGACTGCAATGATTATCTCATCCACCTGATTCTGCTCTTCCATGTAAGACCCTCGCAGCAGGAGGAATACAAGAGGTTGTAGTGAAAGGGATTGGGAGGAAGTTTAAGCTGGAAGAGGTTTAAACATGCTTGGCAATGCCCATCTGCATTCAAGCAGTTTCAGGATTGCTCAGCAATTCATGTTGAACAGAGATGTCTCTCTGGATTTAGCAAGTTTATTTTCAATTAAATTGCTGACTGGCACTTGCTCAGAGTSTCTTCCAAAGCTGGTGATGGATTTAAGTCACGCAGGAGAGATTCAGCTTCCTTTGAGTAACTTTTACAAGGTTACATGAGCAAAAAAACATGCTGGCTTTCTGTCAGCAGCAAGTTTTACCCTGTTAGAATTCGGAAATGGAAACTTTTCCCATCCCTCCCCCACAGCTGGACCGAAAACTCCACAATCTATTTTCTCTCAATCTTCACCTCTTCTCCTTTATATTGGCTGCTTTGCACCAAAAGCCCCGTAGTTACATGCACTTTGACACTTGCATTTCAAAATGCCTGATTGTGGAGTTCTGCCAATACCAGCAATTGATCTGGTGCCACAGACCAGCTTAATTATTCAAGGTCAGTCTCTCTCTGTCTCTTCTTGTCCAGGGAGCAGCAGCTACGGGGAATAAAACCTGAACAGTCTTTAAATTTTAATCATAAACTTTAGTAAGTCACAGATTTGTTTTGCTGTGTGGGTTTTTTTTTTCCTATTGTGCTTCCTGCAACTTTTCCAGTATCCCTACTCCAAGCGTGTGTATATSGTTTCATACAAGAGTGTGCTTTTGTAAAGCGCAGTATTTTACACTCCTATTTAAAATGCATAAGTTGTGTGATCTAAGCAGTTTCCAGTTCACTTTTGAGTGCCTGTAAAAACGTATCCCTTAAGGCATTTCAGCAGAGCAACCAAGAAGGTGGAGGATATTAGAGACTGTGAAAGGGCTTGTCTGCTCTTTCTGTGTGCCACCCTTCAGATAAATCTCCTGTGACCTCCTCCCGCAAGCAGGACTTTAGTTAAGCATTTCCTCCATAATGGAGTGTGCTGGACCTGATCTTAAATTATATTAAAGACCCTTCATGCTGTGTGGGAACATGTTGGCCCTTAGGGAGGGCAGGAACAGTGTCCCTRAAAGCAGACAAGGTGCAGGTATCTGTGTCTGCTGGAGCTAGGGTGGCACAAAAAACAGGTCCTGTCCTGCTCCTTAGGACCCCAAGCTGGGCTAGTGGCTTCCCAGGAGCGCTGTTCTAGGTGTGCTCTTGGCTAGATCATGTAATCGATAAGAAAAAGCAAGAGTCAGTTACAGAAGCCTTGGGGCTGCTCTAAATTTAATCAACCCCTGCTTATGGGCAGGCAAGGAAGCCTTTGAACCCCTCAGGCCACCCTGATGCAACTCCGAGAGATGGCTGAGACGTTAGGGAATCACCATAAAATAATAAGAAAAACCTCAATAAAAAGCCCAATGGCTCTTCAAAACAGCACCATGAAATCTTTATGTGGTGGGGCAATATCACAAGGACTAGGAGGCAAAGTTAGATGTGTATGACCGGGCTCAAGGGCAGGCAAGCTGAGGGAAACGGGGCTGCTCTCCCAGGCTGCTGGCAGTGGGAAGCAGCTGCCCCCTTGCAGGCACTTTTACCCATGGCAGAGTGGGACAAAATATGGGGCCAATTGGTAAGATCTGGAGCTGAAGTCTGCCCAGCTCCAGGCGGCAGCCACTGAGGGACAGCCCTTGCACACCCTTCCAGGGGGAAATAAAGCCCAGCACTCTTTGCTAATTTTCAAACTCTCGGCGTGATTACAGTATCTCTGCTYTACAGCACCCAGCCATTAGTGAGAAGCACTATGCAAGTCAATTAATGATAATGTCTCTTTGCTTGAGATAAAATAGTTCACTCTCACAAACGGCCCGGGATGCGCAGACAGCCGCGCGCGCTGCCCTTGATGGTGCGGCATGAATAGAGGCGCCCGGTCTCTTTCTTCCCGTGGAGTTGCTGGCTTTGTTGCAGATTTAAAGCAGCACTGTTTGAAGCTCTGCCTCTATAGCTGTGTTATGCTGTCCTCCTTTGTAATGAAAACTTCTTCTTTTTCATCATTTTTAATTTCAAAGCCTTCAGGGGTTAGCTTCCTCAAGGCTACATCTCAGCCTGTGAAGAGCAGCGGGTGTACTTACGCTCTTCCTCACCACCGCGATGGCCAGGACCAC